TACAACATTTTGGTACCAAGGTTTTTACAAGCGGCTCTTTGTTTTCTAGATGTTAGGGTTAGTATGCTCTTCGGAAAAATCACACTGACACAATGAAGATGACCAGCATTGAGCGAATCATATTCGTGCAAAGTTTCCTTTCAGAATCGGACAATTTGCAATTTAAATGTCAACGACCCAACCTGTCGGTGATATTACCAACTGATGTTTTACTATTAAAAACCTTCTATTAATATTGTAATTGATATGTCAGACAGAAATTATAATAAATTGCCGATTTAATAATAAAGTTAAACGAACCAATCAATAAGTTCCTAAGATAGGATAAAAACTGGCACCGATTAAGCATCAAGTCACGTTCACAAATCACATGATTCAGCAACCAAGTAAACTTACGAATGAAGCTGACAACTAAACAATTTAATGCCTAAGTTAGTGACACAGAAGAAGTCAGCTCGCTATTTATAATATGGATCCAACAATTGAATAGATACCATAGACATAAATCTTTGCCCATGACCGATGTTCATCCGCAGAGAGTGAACGACATGAACGATCGCAAGCTATTTCGTGATATTCATTTTCACAAACATCGTCTCGGTGACACTCACTTCCAGGTAAATCATTGCGGCGACTGCCAATTCAGAAATACTGTAAATAATGAAATATCGAGGATTCCTTCAATTCCGACAGTTCTTCTGACTCGCAACGTCCACTTATATATAACCATATAAGTCTCTACCTGAGTTTTTCAAAAAGACACGCCACACGCAAGCATGCCATTATCTCATCAATCACGTAACAAAACAACACCTGCCATTTTCCAAGAATTACATGAGACCACTCATTTTGGCCACTACCTAAAAATTGATAGACTTCATAAGCCTCATGATTTTTTAAGTGTCCCTTTCCTTGCTTCATTTGTTCGAGATGATTCCCTTCATTCAATGTTCAGCCATACTTCAGATTCGAGACAGCCCACAGTTATATGACCTCTCCAAGTTCAGCTGACTTTCCCATCAATCAATTTTCATGCATTGACACTGTTCTTTTAGTTTGATCACATTTGCCTGATTCATCATATCCTATCACTTTTTCACTACTTAAAACTTACGACTTCGTTCCACTCTTCACATATATTCTCCCAACGAGTACAAACAAAATTTATCTGAACCACTCCAACACACATTCCATTATCACTGTCGAACATCTAACCAACTTCATGATATAGTACCCTACACCTCTCCCACAAATAAGCACACACACACACCATACTCCCAAACACGAATCAATTAGAAGTCAGTACCACACTATTTGTCGCGACTCGCGACAAACGCTCGTCAAACCCTATTACCCATCCCATCACCTTGATCATTGGCGCTCTCTAACGGGAATAACACTTTTCAACTGTATCTGAACCAGAGCAGAAAGATCATATGACTTCCATAAAGCAACCCTTATCAATCCACAAAACGTTTCCACTCTCACTCACCATGCCGAACTCACATCCGTTCACACCAAAAAATCCCACATAATTTTCAAACTACAAATTAAGAACACCAAATACTAGCGACAACCTATATAAAAATATTCCCATGTAATGTTGGATGAGCTGACCGAGTCGCAACGTTTGCTTCGAAGTGAGCAAAAGAGCTGAATAGAAGTCTTTTCAGGAATATATGAAAGAGCTCCTGGTTAGCCGTAGAGTTTTGAAGAAAAAGGATTAGCGTAAAAAAGAAGATGTTTGGCGGTTTCCCGGTTCAATGTTATATGTTGAGCGTTGAAATAAAATCTCATGTTATGATGTGTTCACCGGAGTAACTGGTAATGGAATGTCTGCGGAAGGTAATGTTTAGATTAAGGGTATGACCAAAAAAGTGTTTTTTGAAAATGAAAAATTGAATGGAAATAGGAAAATATAAGGACACGAAATTGAGCATATTCATGTAAGTTTCAACTGTAGCTGAAGTCTTGTTTAATACATTAAAATATAGAGGTGGTGGATGGTCTTAAGGGCAGTTTAGTGTGTCTTATCAAGCTCCGATCAGTGTTAGAGTGAGAAATGGTTGAGTTTTAACTTCTCAGTTATAATTGATCAAGTGTTTTGGTGAAAAAGGAAAATTTTCTGTTGATCATCAAGCGCAATGGTTAAAGCTGTCAAGCGTTTTAACTTGATTATGTTAACGATTGTGTACTAGATTGAGTTTAACGGAATTAGATATAGTAATTAATTTGATTTATATGACATTTTTGATGGAATTAATTGGAAAAAAAATTGCTGATCGTCGATCTTTACTTTTGATACTTAATATGTATAGATTATCGATTGAATGTCTTTCATATATCCATGTGCAAATTATGTTTTGTCGTATTGATATGTTTAGCGCAAACACACGTGTAGCACAATATATGTCTCATTGCTGGGCTAATAACAATAATGTTTAAAATGTGAGTAGCTGAGAATAGTATTCAGGAACTGAAACTACTTTATTCTATTGGTTATTCTCTATGACGGTAATCATCTTCAATATTCATTGTGCGAAAATAGAAAACGCTCCCTATCAGTGTAATGACGTTCATTTTATTTAAGCACGAAATAACAATGTCAAGTTATTCTTTATTAAATTTTATACTCTCATCATTATTTTACCAGCACTTGTTGTTCTGCTGTTGTCGTTGTTGTTCATTATTATCATATCGAGGAACGATTGAAGAGAAAGAGAATAAAAAAAAATTAAGTGAAACAGATCAAAGATAAAATAAGATGCAGTCGTTTTTTTGTAATAAGTTAAACGTAAAGAGAAAGATACTTTCCATATCACTGAGAAGCAACAAGTGCATAGTGACGTCTTGATTCATTAGATGAATGGACATTTTTATTGCATCAATTTCAATAACAGTTCTAAGGAGTTTTAACACTTGAATAACGTTTAAAATTGTATAAATTAGTGACTATGATAACAGTTGTTCTAAGTAGGATTCAAGATTTTAACTTTGGTAGAGAGCTATAACAAACTATAAGTCGTGACCGTTTTATTTGGCTGTGAAACTGTCAAAAATACTTTTTTTTTTGAAATCGTGTATGCTTGATAAATATGTTCTCTATTAAAGTGATTGTTACTTTTCTGTTTTATTCTTAGCTGTCAGCATTTTTAAAAAATCTTAAACTTGCACAGAAATTACTTCGTTTCATCGACAGTTGATGACTAAATATAAAAAGACGTAACTTGCAAACAGCTACAATGAAAAAGGCCGGAACACTCATTCTTTCTCGCTATTATTATGTCAGCAAACTATTCAAGAGAAAAAGAATAAAAAAGAAATCAAGCGAACAAGAGCGAAGAGAAGATCAGATCATTGTTTGTTTCTTATAAGTTAAACGTACAGAGAGAGATACTTCCTACATCACTGGGAAGGAACAAATGAAAGCGACTAGCTGACTGCTTGTGTCAGTGTACCTTGTTTATGGCATGGATATCATGAGCAATTTTAATAAATCTCAAGTCTTTAGTAATATTGAAATCGCATTGATTACTGACAATAAGAAATCTAGCTCTAATTAAGATTCAAGATTTTATATATGTTTGAGGGTTATGACAATTATGACATTCGATTGCTTTGCTTCGTTAGGAAATTCACAAGCCTATTGATTTTTATTGGAGACCTTGCATCATTGATAAATACCGCATGTCCGAAAATGTTTGCAACATTTTTTATTTCGCGTATATTTCGACTTAGGTTAATGATAAAACCTTGAATATTTTTTTTTAAAGATGCGTTGTTGAAACCTTTACACAAGCTGTATAAATAAATTCGTATTGAAAAACAAAAAAGTCTTCGTAACATTTTTTATTGTATTCAATTCGGTGGAAAGTACAACTAACATGTAGGTTTTTCATTTTGAGTATAGGAACAATCATCAGAACACGTTAGTAGGGATTTGTTCAGAGTTTTTTTTTGTTGAACTTTTCGCGGCGAATGTTTTTAAAAAAACCACGATTTTTATGATTTATTTACGCTGACTTTATTAGAATTAAAAGTAGTTGGTTATTCTTATTCAGATATAACCTCTTTCTAATGAGTTCACTACTCTCGAGATGAAATAAAAAAGTTTTTTGTGTTTTTGTAAATGTTTATTTATTGACTAGTTTCTGCGGGATCTGAACCCCACTTCTTCAGAATAGACAAAATATACACAAAAAACGTATTTACAACGAATGATCTTCAGGGTCTAAAGGACCTACTAAAGATACCGATAATACTAGATGGCCGAATGGGCCTCTCGAATGACAATGACAAATTAAGGATACCATATGGCCGAATGGGCCGCTACAGGCGAAAAAGAAAATTGTCTTGAACTGGAACTGGAATGACCATTTGTAATGAACATTGTTTGATGATCATTGTCTTAAACTATGTTTAAATTATTGTTGGTTGCCGCCGTCGTTGATATGGCATGAACCGTAACGTTATGTCGCACCAATGTCCAATTGTAGATAAAAGAACTCCTGTCCCATAGCATACGAAGTGTTCTTTTAACAAATAAATAAGCGATTTTGTAAAAGAACTCCTATAAGAAGTGTTCGTCTAAATAAGCGATTTTATTAGAATTAAAAGTAGTTGGTTATTCTTATTCAGATATAACCTCTTTCTAATGAGTTCACTACTCTTGTAAGAAGTGTTCGTTTAACAAATAAGTAAGCGATTTTGTAAAAGAACTCCTATAAGAAGTGTTCATTTCACAAGTAAATAAGCGGTTTTGTAAAAGAACTCCTATAAGAAGTGTTCATTTAGCAAATAAATAAGCGATTTTGTAAAAGAACTCCTATTAGAAGTGTTCGTTTAACAAAAGAACTCCTATAAGAAGTGTTCGTTTAACAAATAGCTGAGGTAAAAGATTTACAAAAGGACTCCTATCCGAAGGAATAAGAAGTGTCCCTTTCTTTTAAAAAGAACTCCTATCTGAAAGAATAAGAAGTGTTCTTTTGACAACAACTCCATTAAGTAAGTGGTTGATTAATTTTTAGTAGAGATTTGTCTGGTTTCTTTCTAACAAGATAATCTTGAAGATTATCTAATCTTCTAGAACCGAGAATTGGTTTCATATGACAAATGGCTGTATCTGAAAAACAATCATTCCAGAGTTCGTGAAAACGAGCTGAAAAATCATGCATTCCTTGGCAATACGAGAAATGACACATGATATTAATCTCGAAATCAATTCCAGCCTTCTTTGTATCGTTATTTGCAGCATTTATTAAGACATTTCTTATCTCTGAATAGTTTTTCTGTGTAAGTGCTGCATATTGAAATGTCTGTGGGACTCTTTCAAATTGTTTAATAATAAAATTCAATGGGTATTTATTCAATAGTAACGACATATAAATATGGGCTTCTTCACGTTTAAAAGCCTCATAATTATAAGAATATCGTATTGCCCTTACTAGAGTTGCAAATGGAATATTCTTTTTTATATGCCGTGCGTGTATGCTTGTGAAAGGGAGGAAATATGGTTCATGTGATGGTTTATGAAAAACCTCAGTTACCAATTTACCTCCTCTATTCTCAAATCTAACGTCAAGGTACTCTGCAGTTTGTCTTATGGATTCTGAAAATTTAATATTACTATCAAGTCTATTCCAAAAATTCACAAGACCTTTTAATATATCTGCATGTACATTTGACATGATAAATAGATCATCAATGTATCTATAATATAATGAACATGTCCTATTAGCCCATTTTGAAATAGGACGTTCAACGAAATACATATATGCATTAGCCATTGTGAGGGTCAATGGTGAGCCCATGGCTCCTCCACGTATTTGTTTATAATATGACCCATCAAGATAAAAATAATTATTAGTGATAACAAATCTGGTGAGAGCTAATATGATCTCTTTTTTAACACCATCGATTTGTTTTAATCCAGATGCTTCAATTAATCTTTTTATGGCTGTTACTCCTCCTTCTTGAGGAATCATTGTATACAAATCAGTAACATCCATTGTTATGAATGATGTGGCTCGTGTAAGGTAAGTAGCCGACCATCTTTCAACTTGTTGTATTAATTCAAGGCCGTTTTTAACGGTTGAATTTATGGCTAGACGATCGAACAATGGTCTTAATAAACTATCCAACCATCTAGAAATTTCTATGGTTGGAGATTTAAGACCAGACATTATAGGTCTTAAAGGTGTTCCTGGTTTATGTGGTTTTGGTAAGAAATAAAGATGGGCTAATTCTGCCTCATCTTTCTCTACTTTAAATTTTTCATATTGTTTTTGTGTAATATGTTTATTAACCCATAAACCATAAAGAAAATCATTTGTACGTTCAACTAAAGATTTAAGTGGGTTTACTGTACCCAAAACTTGATAAGCTTTAGTATTAATCATATATGTTTGAGCTTTCACTTTATAGTCATCCAGTTTACCAAGATGGAAAACTTTCGATTTATCAGTTTTTCTTATGACTGTTAGTGTAGCTTCAAATTTATTACTTAAATTATTGATTTCTTTTAATTGAACAGCTGGCGGGTGTCTTTCATGACAATCAGTCAAGATCTTTTCGAGCGAGTCTATAAAGATCTGTAACCGTTCTTTAGGTAGTACCCATCCGTGTTCAACGAATATTTTATTTAGTTTCTTTACAACCACTTCTATCTCATTTCCCATACGTTTATGGGCGAGATGAGGGTTATTTGGAATATATTTAGGGCCTAATTTAAGGAGGGCCTCTTCACTCCTATTTAAATTTATATTAGCATCATTAATTATGCTTGGAGCACGAAATCCTTTCGCATCACTGGATTTAGATCTTTTGGCTCTTGAGTTCCAACTGGCGTCTCTTGGACGCCTCGTTCGGATAAAAAATGCACTTCTCTTTCAATTTCTAATTGAGCTCTTTTATGTGCAATTACAATATATTTTTTAAATAATTCAGAACCTTTCTTATTGTTTATAGTTTCTTGTCGTTGTGATAATGGTTTTTGAGTAAAAACTTCATTATCTAAAGGTTCTTCATCATCATCATCAATTTGTGTTGATGGTACTTCATATCTATCTTGTGGAAAATCATCAAGAAGTTTTTGTAATCTTTCTTTTTGAAATTCAAATTCTTCTTTGACGATTCCTAGATAGAGTTCTGTTGCTTTAAGTCGAAAATCTTTTGATAAATTATGTATACTTTTTCTGTATTCCTGGGTCTGTTCACTTGTAAGTGAATTTTCGTCCACAGGAAGATTAAAGTCATAATGTGGTAAGATTTTCGGTATTATATCATTTGATATATGTGCAGCTACCAATTCAAACCTTTTCTTTTTCTTATGGTAGTTATTCAATGTCGATTTACAAAAGGTTTTAGCATACATTTTTTGTTGTTCTGATGCAACATTTTCAAATGTTTTTAGAGCATCCCATTCGTCTTTTTCAATCGAAGCACGACGAATTCTATTAATGCTCATTTTTGCTAAACCCTGTGTAGCCTCTTTAATATAATCGAGTATAAGATCATGTACTCGTTGTGTAGCAACAGTGGCTGTTTTAGATGAAAGTTCTCGCATATTTCGTGTAATTATATTATTAGCATCGAAACATGTCGATGTCAATTGTGCTAATTTCTTTTCACACATTGACACATTTATTTTAGCCTCCCGTGTATGTGTTATATTTACTATTTCTTTAGCCCAATGATCTTTTTCTTTACCTAAATCATAGATATGTTGCCAGACCTGGGCTTCGTAATGATTATGTATCCAACTATCATATGTTTCAATGGTATTTTTTGCATATTCACATACTTCATTGAAA